TTCCCTTTTGATAGCACTGGTAGTTGATGTCACCATAGCATTTAACGTTTCTGTATAACCTAGGCCGCGACTCATCTATAAGACCCTCTACAGGTCCAATCTCCTTCTCAGGATCTGGCTCATTGAACATTGCCAAAGACATCCTCATATTTTCTGTGTTTGTCACAACCCTGTGCATTATGCTCTTGAATATTCCATTACTCATGATCTGCAACAGTGCCAAACTTCATTAACCATTCATTAACTAACACTGATTCCACCTCAAAAACTAGTTAATGACGCACCACTACAAAAATAGAATCATTAAGCTTGGAGAATTTTTATTACTCATCAACAAGTAGAACAACGATTTCTTGAGATGAATAGAACCCAGTTTACCTGCATTTGATCGCCCAGATTGACAACAAAGGCATCGGGCATTGTGGGAACACTGACCCAATTGTCATCTATCAGAACTTGAAGACCTTCCACTTCTTTGTCTTGCAATAGAACTGTGATTCCTGATCGATCTGTGTGAGGTTTGACGCCAAGGACCAGATCAGGCCTAGAACATCGTGGATAGAAGTTGAACCTCGCCAGCATCAATGATTCTTCACCAAACTGGTCCAGGAAGCTACCCTCTTCCAAATTCAGTGACCTTGCCATGGATCTCAAGAGATAATCCATCATTGATTTCACTTTCGCCGAAAACTCCTCTAATTTCTCACTGCATTATGTTAAGAAAATTGAGCCCAGTAATTACTCTACTTCAGTATGTGACAGAAATTTCTCAGGTAGATAATGTATCCTCAAGAAATCTTCTTTCTAACAGATAAGTTTAGAATAATATAATACGAGTTGCTATGTTTTAGGACAAACTGAACTGGTTGAAGGGCAGTACCTAAAATCAGAAGGAATTTTGGGCCAAAGAGAAAGTCTTCGTTTTTTTTCTGGAAAAATTCGAAGTGATAGGCGATAGGACCAGTCAAGAACCTGCTTGTCCGAAACTACTCTATCATTCCCATACCCTTCAGATTCATTAACAGCTCGAGCATACTTCTGCTTTTCCTCTTCTGGGAGTGCAAAAAATTGTTTTGCAAGTTCACGAATTTTGTCAAGGTATGAACTTGACATTCCATGACCAATTGCCTGCATGTCAGATATGCTCACTATTATTACAAAGATGAAAGTATTTATATCCTTGACACATTGAAATTAACTTGCATATATGGCACGTAATATGACCTTAGATATGCTAAATATCCACACAGAGGCCCTTTGGTTTAAAGAAGAGTCAATCAGCAGTGTTGATATTTAGCAATGCACTAACATGACCTTAAAACACAAAATTAATCTGAGACATTGGAAGGGTCCTTTTTTAGCCGCCAGTTAATAAAATTTATCGCTTTTTTCATCTTAATAACTCTTCAAAGGGAATCAGAGAGTACAAAATGCAATATATGACTGATGGTGCTTTGAAACGCATGCAAGTAGCAGTGAAGATGAAGTTTTTGGAAGCTTTTGTAGATCCACACCTGGAAGCATCCAGCTGAAGTTAGAGCAGATCTGAGCTTCTGTAGCTCACCTTCTGATGAGAGGAGACTTAGATCAATGATGGGTATTGGAATGAGTGCGGAAGAATCTTTAGATACAAAGCTATTTCCTTTAACAATATATTGCGTTGGTGGTTCATCACCTCCCATGGACATTTGTTGAACGCTCTTGGCCATCGATTTCTCCGAAACGAGTAGATTGTCAGCGATGTCTTTCTCAGTTGGTGATCCAGCAATGGATGGCTTTCTTTGGGAGACCGACTTTCGATTATTTGTTTATGTCTGAAAGCTACAAACTGATTTGTTTAGTGTAATACGCAACAAAATCTGCAGTTAAGTCCAATGGCTCTGACAAGAACATGAGCTGTAACTTTGTTTTTCGTAGTTAAACTGTTTTAATAATGAACACGTGTCGTCTATATAGCCGAAAAATTTGCATCCGATAATTTTTAACAAAATATTTAGAATTTTTTATATAAAAATATGCGTTCATGTCGTTTTAAAAATTGAAATTGTTGATTTTTTTAGTACTTAAATCATTTGAAATTAAAAAGTTTAAATTCCAATTTTATTTGTGTTATTTATTTACTTGATTTTTGCGGTAACTCGGTTCACTTCACTAAGATAAACACATTTCGGATGTGAAAGCAGCTTTCGACTTGATGACATGGTACGAGAAGATTGCTCTTTGCACTCTCTTGATATGTAACTACACAACATGATGGCCCGGCCCATGTTTTCCCACAAGATAACATATCCTGACCAAAAACATTACATACATTACAACGTTTTGAACCAAAAAACATAAACATGTCATAGACTATGATTAAGACTATGACCACGACTGTGCCTTGTGCATTCCAAAATCTTCATTTTGATGTGAGCCACAAGCACCACCACTTCGTGGCCACCTCTTATAGCATCAACGTTAATATTACCCATACGCCTCATGTTTTGTTATGTAATGACACTCCCTAACACACCCAAATTTTCTTTCTTTATCTTTTTTTCCCCTTTCGTTTCGTTTGTTTTCTGCAACTTCAATAGGCTATTTTAACCAGCATGGCCAAGCTCACGCTGAGGCCAGACAATTCCTGCTTCATTTCACATACTCGCAGAGCATGCTCACATACCCCTTTTATCAGAACGACATCGTTTCCACGTTTTCACTTCCACCTCTCACCACCTTCCAACTACTCCTTAAGGCTCCGAATAGTTTCTAACGCTCAACAAAATGCCAAAGAAGTGGCCAAGGCCAAAGCTCTCACGGAGCTTCAAGAGGAAGAGGTGGAGAAGCAGCATGAGAACTTGTCCGGGACCTGGCCACCTTGGAAGAATCTTCCCCAAAGATACAAGCTCATTGGCACCACATCTCTCGCTTTTGTTATTTGTAACATGGATAAGGTTCTTACATGCTTTTGCAACCCCACAAAGTAAAATTGCTTCTTGATCACAATTGGATATAAGCAAGCAAGCAAATCAAAGCACCTTTTTTTTTTTGCCTTTTGTTTTTAATGGAAATAAAGCATTTTTAGAGTATAATCAATGAATTGCATCATTAATTATGTGTGGGATTTGATTTGATTTAATGGGGGTGCAGGTGAACTTGAGTGTTGCCATAATTCCAATGTCTCATCAATTTGGGTGGAACTCGACAACGGCTGGATTGGTTCAGTCCTCCTTCTTCTGGGGTTATGCATTGAGTCAATTGCCTGGGGGTTGGCTAGCTAAAATATTTGGTGGCGGGTTAGTTACCAGTTGCAACACATGTTCTTTCTTTGCTATATTGCTACTTGCTTCCCGGAAGATTTATCTTGTGTTAGACTTTTTTTGACTTTGTATTAGTTTAAAAGTTATATACAAAGCATCGTTCTAAATTGTGGCATGCAAGTACAAATAGTTGCGGTGTTTCCCAAAACTGCAACGACATACAACTGTGGTACTTTCCAAAACCGCAATGTCCCTCATTGTCAGTGTGGTTTTCATTCATACAAATTATCACAATGCACCCACAACTTATCTTCAGCATTGGTCTAACTTTTAAAGTGTGAATGGTCGAATGAATGTGACCATGTGAGATGTTAGGTGGGTACAAATTACACCACATAGTGATGCATTAGGAAGACATGAGATGTGGTAATAATTAGAAAAAATATTCCAACAATTAGAATAATCTATAAAATTCTTATTCCAAACATATAATAATTTCATGCTGCAGTGGTCACAGTCTGTATTGCAGCAGATGCAATGGTTGCACCTGCAATTTATAACCATGATCCAAATTGTAAAGATCTTTACACTAACAATGTATTAAAGTTAAAGTCTGAAAGAAAACTGGAGAAGTACAATACTCTGGGGTGATAAGGAGTGGACTTTAGGTCTTGGAAGTTTGAATGACCTTTTAAGATGTTATTGGTTTTCTACATTTCTTTGGCAAAAGAAAATGAAAACATTTGGCATATAAGTTTTAGTGAATAAAGAAGAAATCGAGGCCACTTTAATTTGGTCAGTATAGATTTGGTAAAGTGATTCTACTTTATTTTTCTAGTTTACCTCTAATCTTCCCTTCTCTGTTTTCTGTATTTAATTTATTATTTTTAACTAAGAAAAAAATATGTATCTTGTCTGCATCTGGAAGGAACATGCAAAGCATTGAAATGCCAAGAGTTGAGTGAAGCTTCACAGAGTTCCACTACTAATATGTCTGGTTCTTAGTGGTTTGTAATTTCACGTTAACTAGAGATATGAATCAAATAAAGATTCTAAAGTTTGGATAACCCTCGTCTTACAAATAAATTTGTGGGTTTGAGTTAGACCAAAGTCTAAATTCTAAGAAAGTTTCAAAGTCCATTGTAGATCCATTGTTAGTTAGGCCAACTGCATTGCCACACTTTGGGATCCTTGGGTGAGGTGGTGTAATGTTGAATTGGGCCCTAACACCGAATGCGAAGATATAGTTAGGCCAAGGTCAGCAATGCTCTGAGGTTCAAATTAAGTTGAACCAAGTGTGTACTCTTTTGCATATTGTACTGAAGTTTTAGGCACTTTGAACTCAAGTTTTAATGAATAGAAGTAATAAAATTGTAAAATTGGGACTTGCACCAATTTATGATTATTCTATTAGGAAGGAAATGCTGGTAAATGATTTGAGTATTTTCCACTATAACGTTGAATTGATAATGAAACAATGAATCAATGGTTTGTCCGACTATGAAAAAATCAAATCTTTAAAATGCCTGGCAGCAAATATCTTGACATTTAATCTCTTTGTAATCAAGGCTCGGGATGGATATGTAACATATATTAGAATCTATTTGCAAGGAATTGAACTTTAATCTCACATTTGGAAATATGAGATTCTAGTATGGAGTTTAGAAGGCTTTGAACTCTCCAAGTATCTTTTGTGGTGTAGTTCTCCCTTGGTTCTTACCTATTTTTATTAGAGCCTTTTATCATGTCTCTCAATTGCTAACGAGGTGCAGGTGGTGATACCAAACATTGCAATGTTTCCTAGATTATTCAAAGGGCTAGTGCATAGCCAGCCCACATTGGCTATAGGGTTGTGGAGGGTGGTGGGATATAATCCAACTGTAAGGTGTGAGACTTGAGTCTAACATGGGAAGTGTGAGATATTAGTGCGAGGTTTATAATACCTTGGGCTCCAATTACAATAGCTAGCTTTTGTGGTGTGCCGCTCCCAAGATAATTATTAGGATGTCTCTCTTTCTGCAGGTAGGAATTCTCATTCCCATGGAATTGAGGCAGAGCTGGAATTATCATTTTTGCATTCCAAACCAAGCATTCTCCTAATGATATTTTTCCCAATAAATTTATAATTTAATATCTTTATTTTCTAAATCTTTCTTCTTTGTCCTTTAAGCCATCTTAAACAATACCTTTGTTATTGTGCAATGCATATTCCTCATGTTTATCTACCTGGTGAAATTATAATTACATTCCAAAGAGAGGTTCAAGATTAGACTGAGGTATTTACAAGACTGCATTTACATACTATATGTTAATTACATTCTTTTATCTATTATTGACAAAGGTATCCATCTATTTCCTTTCATTAAATGGGAGTCAATTGAAAAACACGTGTTCAAGTCCTAAAGAAAGAGATAGTAATTTACCTCATTCAGAGTTGGCACTGATATTACTATTTAGCTTCCGAGTTTATGATGTTACACCATTATCTTTCTTTTTCAGAACTGTTCTTGAGATTGGAGTGCTGATATGGTCAGTCGCTACCGCTCTTGTTCCTTTTCTTGCTGGATATATGCCTGGCTTACTTTTGTCAAGGGTTTTGGTCAGTAATTTTTTTCAACCACCCAATGCATACTTTCTTTCTTTGCTGATTTAAGGCCTACTTACACCCATGATTCCTTGGGTCTTGCAAAAAGTTATTATTTTGATGTAGTTATCTTTCCATGGGATTTTCTATCTTCTGCAGTTAGTATGCCTATTTTGGGTTTCTTTTATTGCTATTTAACCTCTTCCCTGATGAACATTTGTTAGTCTTTTTCAACACTACTAAGCTCTTCTCTTCCATTGCAAATCTAGGTTGGGATAGGGGAAGGTGTTTCCCCATCTGCTGCTACGGATCTTATTGCCAGGCATGTAAACATCAAAAAATATGTTGGGATTGAGTTGATTTTCTGCTGATTTGTATTTCTTCTATGATTTGATATTTACTTGTCCTCTGATTACTTTTTTCATCAGTATGTGAATTTTAGACTATTTTCATGTGAACTAAAATTATTTTGTCTTTAGTTTCGTCCCAAACAAAATTTGGTTGAACTAAATTTTGTGTTGCCTTATAAGAATCCAAAGAAACATAAACATGTTGAACACTAACAGCAATTGTTTGGAGCTCAACAAAAATACTTTTAAGTTAATAATTCATTCACCTAACTCAGCCACAGATTTTTGACATCTACTATACATGTCAGCCAGTTATAATATTTCTTTTTTTTTTTATCTTTTAACCTTTTTAATCAGTAAGGTTCATGCCACATGCAGGTCAATACCATTGGAAGAACGTTCACGGGCAGTAGGATTTGTTTTCGGAGGTTTGAGTGTTGGAAGTGTTATGGGGTAGGCATTTTCTAGCTTGTAGTTACACAGTATTGTAATTTATTTTTATTGTTTACTCTCAATTTTAACATTGTAATATTTGTCAGGCTTCTTTTGGCTCCTCCTCTTATCCAAAATCTTGGTTGGGAATCAGTATTTTATTTATTTGGTCTTTTCGGGATTGCTTGGTAAGTAGAAATGACTATCTATTTTCCACTTGCCTCTCTGTTAGTTAAAAATAGTAAATTTCCTATGTCTTGAGTTTCAAATATGGTTGTTAGATTCAAAATTATGACTTGGTTTATTGGCATGATTTTTGAAGGTTTTTGGGGTTTCAAGTTCTTGAAGGAGGTGAAAAACAATTAAATCCAAAATCTCTTTCATGTGAGATCTTTATCTATTTCAATTTTTTGTGGCTTCTTGATGTTTGAGCTAAAAAGTATTTTGTTATTAAATCAATGATGATAAAGGACGCCTTTCTATTAAAATAAGTTTTACAACCTATTAGGATTTATGAGCTACTGGAATTGATATATATCGAGTAATGTTTACTTGATCATCTTCTCTGTTGGAAATTCTTTTGCAAAATACCTTGGAGGATCCTTACTATGGTACTACCTGCCTGCTTAATCTGCTTTGGTTTTAGTGGAGTTGTCACTTTTTGTTTGCTTTTCATCTTCATCAACACTGCTGTAAAATGATAGATTTTGTATCAGCCCATAGCTTGGTTTGCTGTTGTTTTTGTCAACGCTAATCATTCTGTGAATTTGCTCTTCTAAATTGAAAAAATCACTTTAGAGAGGAAGGTGAGGCAGGGTTCTCAACTATTAATGAGAAAATCAAGGAATAGTTTCTAACAAACCCATGATTTGTTATACATGTGCATGATATTCTTACCATTTATGTTGGCACGAATATTGAGATTTCTTACTTTCCCTTCCAAATTGAGAGCTGACTTTAGTGGAGTCAAATTCAATAATAACCATTTAATAGATCTCCAATGTTACCTGACATAAGATATGAGTTACCTACATATTTACCTGGTTATTCCTTGTGTCTTTGGTTTTGTGCGATTCAATAATTAATGTTGGGTAACCCCGGATAAGTTCTGAACTTGCAAGCATTGATCATCTTAGTCCCTGACATTTCTAAACCTTTATAGTAAGTCATTCAGTTTAGACCTTTTCTAAGTTTTTATTCATTTTCATTAAGGACTAAAGTGAATGAGTTTTTGCAAAGTCAAGAACTAAAGTGTATAATGCTTACAATCTCATGAACTGAGTGGTTCACAAAAACAATGAGAATTTGGAACTATGAAATGTCAGCAAGGATTTTAAGTATATGTTTGGCTCTCTAGATAAAAAAAGGGTTAAGAGGGAGAGAGAGAGAATCAAAGAACACCCTTAGACTTTCTCTGGCAATGGAAGAATCCCCTTTTCAAATGTGTGAAACGGTTTTATTTCTGTCCCCATAAAGAATGCCTATTTGTTCGTAAATTGTGTGCATATCCCTTCGACCTCCAAACTTTTCTAATAACTATCTGTTATTACACGTTTCTAATATAAGTATATAACCAGTAACTACTTAGGGTGTGTTTGAATAACCATGTTGAAAGCCAATAAAATGTGACTGGACAATTGAGTTCAATCTTCCACCCTCTGCTGTTTAACCAGGACCACGTTGCTCCATTTACCCAGTGTCTCTCTTCCTTCTAGAATTTATCTCAAGTTTTGGAACCTCTTGGTTCCTAACATCATGGTACTCATAATCTGTTCTTTTTTTTAAGAATTAATAAATTATAAATGAAGATGATATCTTTTACTTTTTCATTTTTCTTATGTTATGTGTAAAAGGCAGATTGTATATAAGTTGTCTTTGTTGTACAGTTCAAGGCTTTCATTCTTTTGTTTACGTATTTGAAGCCTTACGTGGTTAAAGTGGTTGTTTTTTAACTTTTGACCTTCACTGCCTCGTTGCAGCCCCAGACACCGTTACAAACTCGTGGAAAACTTCTCTGACCGAATTGAATGGCTCTTTGAAGGTACAAGTAACGAAATTTATGGCAGTTTTGAAGCTCATTCTTTTTGTCAAAATTTGAATGACCATAGGAATGACTTGGCAGCTCTGCTTAATGGCCCTAGATATTCTTATATTTTTTATTGATTGTGTTAGTTATTATAGATATTGTGTTTGCTTGGACAACGTCTCTGTAAACACCTTTAGGAAGAAAACATAAGAGGAAAGAAATCAGTTTCTCCGTAAGCTAAAATTAACTTATGGAAAAGATAATTTGTAAATGCTCTCTCATATAGTTTCTTTAAGTTTTTATTTTTAACTCATGCATAAACTAATTTTAGCTTATAGAGGAGTCAGTTTTATTATCTTCTATATTTTTTCCCCTGTAAGTGCTTATGGAGAGATATATCCAAACATGCCCATTATCCTTTATCTCATTTATCTACAATTTATAATTCATTAAGGATTTTCATTGTAATAAAAATTATTTATACGTATGTATGTATGCATATATGTTTGTATTTATGGATGGATGGATGCTCATTATGGAGGTGTTTTCTCAAGCAATTCCAATTTCCAAGTATTCTTAAGAGTTAAAATTCCAGATATAATTTTTTTTTGCCAGTATGCGTGTAAGACTTACACTTGGTTAGATTAAGTGAATGCTTACAATATCTGTTAATTAACATTGATTTGTGTCTGTTCTTATAATACAGGATGTACCTTGGAAGGCTTTTTTCCAAAATCGTGCTGTGTGGGCTATGATATATGCTCATTTCTGTGGTAGTTGGGGTCACTATAACTGTCTATCATGGCTTCCCACATTTTTTAGGTACCATGTCAGCATTTAATGCTTCACCTGCTTCCACTTTTTATCTTCCACTGCTACCAAGCCACCAGGGAGTCAGTGTTGACCTTTAGAATGAATAATTGTTTCTTTAATTTTTTTCCATTTTAACATTTACTCATTCATGACATAGTTTTGCTTACAGAAAGTTAATTATATTATCATATCATAATATGCTAGAAAGAAGCTGGATTCACCTTTTATTTACCTAGTTACACACACACACAGGTACCAAACTTATTTTATTCATTTTAGAAGTTTACAGTCTGGAAATTTCAATTTGAAATTTATGACTTTACTGCTATGAGATGATG